ATGACTCTTTGGAAGTAATTTTTCTTACATTTATAAATATTTAACTTAGTCACAACTGATAATGAATAAATTTTTCATTTTTTTCTTGTGGTGCTTGGGGATCTAACCCAGAGCCTTATACATGCTAGGCAAGCTTTCTACCACTGAGCTCAATAGTCTGAACTGCATTCTCAGCCCTTAAATAATTCTTTTATATTGTAACAAAAGAATTTTAAAAAGTCATATTTTGATTTTGACAACTGTTTAAAAGTTTAAAAGTTTTCCATTCACCACAGATAAGAAAAATTGTGCTCTATATATGTAATATGAATTGTAATGCATTTCGCTGTCATATATAACAAAAAATTTTTTATTCTAATTTGTTATATATTTATTCATTAGCTGTTTAGTTGCTAAAAGTTCATATGCAATTTTGTATACTGATGATATTTTTGGATTTTTATTTTTTTTCAGATTAAAAATAGCTTTATTGTTTCATTCTCATTATATAGGTAGGACATTCTTATCATAAAACTGTCTTTGGAGAATGCAAAGCAGGGGCTGGGGCAGTGTAGTTCAGTGGTAGGGCCCTCACCTAGCATGGACAGGGCCCTGGATTTGATCCCCAGCACTGCAAAAAAAAATAAAATAAAATAAAATAAAAGAGGAGGAGGATGCATAGGAATACAAAGAATATAAAAATCACTTATTATCCCATCATCCAGAGGTAATCACTGTGGTGACTTGAGGCTTTTTTTTTCCCTCCATGCATTCATTATGTGTGTGTATGTGATGTATGTGTGTTTAAAATTGGTCATATTTATAGTTCAACAACGAAAAGTCAAGTTTTGTGTGGGTTTTTGTTTGTTTGTTTTGGGTATCAAGGGTTGAACCTGGGGGCCCTTAACACTAAGCCAGTCTCCAGTCCTTTTTGTTTTTTATTTTGAGAAAGCGTCTAAGTTTCTGAGGCTGGCTTTGAACCTGAGGTCCTCCTGCCTTAGGTTCCTGAGCCTCTAGGATTACAGGTGTGTGCCACTGGGTTTGGCAAAAGCCAGTTTTACTGAGACACATCTAAAATACTCTGGTCATCTTACTTGATCAGTAGTAACTTGGCAATTTGGATGACTTTTTCCATTCTCACTTAACTGTATCACATTAGTATAGCAGTCAGCACAGGGTGTACTTTAGAACACTTTAGTAAACTAATACCTTCTCATATATGTTTATGTAGTGACCAATGAATCTGTAATTTGATGATTAATAAGGTACGGTTTGGAGCTCAGGATTTCTTACTATGTTTGGTCCCTGCCCCCTGTACTAAAAATTCTACTAAAATTAACTCTTTGTTATCAAGGAAACATTTCATTTGCTTCTATATCAAGGTATACTTTTGTAAGTAGGTGACTATATAATTTTTTGCTCAAATTGAGGCATTTTTGAGAATAAAAAGGGATACTAAAATATTTGAAATTCTGTACATTTTTGGAATATATATTTTTTAACCATTAATGTGACTTTAATGGCATTGGTAGATCAATAAAATAGTTTCACTTAAATTTTAAATTCAAAAATAAAATTTTCTTAAGCATTTTATTGTACATAATACTGAAATAAGGTTTTTATTGCATGCTAAGAAGCACAAGCAGATTAATTTTGAAAATAACAACTTTTTAAATCAGTTTTTTTTAATTTTATAACTTTATTTTATTTATTTATTTTTATGTGGTGCTGAGGATCGAACCCAGGGCCTTGCATGTGCGAGGCGAGTGCCCTACTGCTGAGCCATAACCTCAGCGCCTTAAATCAGTTTTTTTAGCCTGCTCTATGTTATGTCACTCTGGTTTTAATTTTTTCATAAAGTTGTCTGTATGAATTTTCAGAGTTGCATTTTATACATTGTGGTTGCTAAACTTTATAGTTGTTTCTTTTCTGTAATTAGAAAAAATTTTTAATTGCTAATGTACTCCTTATGTGCTGCTCAGATAATATTTACTAAATGGAGAACATTCTTAATTCTGTTTTTATTATTAAAAATTATAAATTTATCAGCCCCATATTTTTCATCTGTAGTGCCTTTTTGCCTCTATCCAAGTATTATCTTTGACAAATTATTTTTATAAGACAGATCTTGTCAAATAAGTTTTCTTTATGTATGATTATTTTACATGTTCCACCAAGTTTAAATGCTGCAAAATTGTAAGCCTTCTCTAATTTTATTCCTTTCCAGTACAGAACTAAAATTTATCCTGTTAAAAATAGGAAGACTCTTGGTGGAAATTCTACAATTCATTCCGAGGTTTAATTACAGAATTTCAAAATCAAATCTTCTGTACTATTTGAGCTCTCACTTAAATTTGTTCAGTTTTTACCTTGCTTTTGAAGTATACATTTCAATGTCTCAGCAAACTTTGTTTATATAAATAGATCTTAGTTAAGTTTTATGAGCTGAAGGATTTTTTTAGCTTTATTAATTTAAGACTTTAAACTTTAATTACGGGTTTCTAACTGTCTTTGAACAATATGCAACCAATATTTGGAGTAGTTAAAAAGACTCCTTTATAAGTCCAACCTAAGTTTCTCAGTAGTGAATCTTTTTTGAAAACAAGTCCTCCAAACTCTTGCAATTGTCCCTCTTTCCATCCTCATTTTTCTTTAGTTTTACCATGGCGCATGGGGATCCTTCACAAATTCTCCTGTTTAAAAATCACACCCCTGGGGCTGGGGTTGTGGCTCAGTGGTAGATCACTTGCCTAGAATGTGTGAGGCCCTGGGTTCAATCCTCAGCATCACATAAAAATAAATAATAAAAAATTTTAAAAATTCAATCTAAATATATATTTTTAAAATCACACTCCTGGGGCTGGGATTGTGGCTCAGAGGTAGAGCACTGGCCTAGTATGCGTGAGGCACTCGGTTCAGTCCTCAGCACCACGTAAATATAAAATAAAGATATTGTGTTCACCTATAACTAAAAAAATAAATATTTTTTAAAAAATCACACTCATATCTTCTTTCAGAACTACTTGCTGTTCTTTATAGATATAGCTGAGCTTTCTGTTAATTGATGCCTTTATATATACTGTAATCTCTGTGTAGAATCACTTTATTTTCACCCATAAAGTTCCATACTTTAAGTTTCTATGAAGCTTCCCTGGACTTACTTCTGAGTCTTGAACATTGTTACATATTGATATACAGGTAAACCTGAGCCTTTAAATATATATTCTTTTGTTGTCATTCAGATGAGATATTAAATGTGTTTATCTGCTGACCAAAGAACCCTTTGTGTGGAGGGCCTTCGCGCTGAGTGACTAGCATTTTCCTTCCCTTATCAGTTGAGGCTATGTTGGTCACTTCCAGTGATCTGGCCACATTCAAAGTGGCCCCAGATGGTTGTCCCAATCCTGGAAGTAGCAGAATGTGTCTTCGTGCGTAGGCGTGCCTTCCTGCAGCCCCATGGATTGAGCTATGCTCACCTGTTCCTTTGTGATATTACCACTTTGCCCTGTTTGGGATAGAATGTTCCATGGAAATGCCCTTTGTGTGACCCCTTCTCTTGCTCTGCCTTTGGGTGTGGCCTTCCTAAATGTCAGTCAACCTGCTGACAGCAGACATCATGAAGCTAGACTCAACCCCTTGAATCCTAACCCCTTGCCTTATTTGAATGGCTTCTCCTCTATAAAAGGGGTCAGCACGCCCTCACTCTCTCTCTTTCTGCGGACTCTTAAGGTCAGAGGAGCTGTCTCAGGACCCCCAAAGAAAAAGGTATCTCTGTCTCTTGTGTGGTTATTGCGTGCTACCCAGTTCCCCTGGAGCAACCCTAGGGAATGCTACACCTTTGAACTATGGTGTGAATTGAATGGCCCTGCCTAAGTTTAGGCATTTCACATCTGATAATGTCAATATCATCTTTTTTTTTGGGGGGGGGTGGTGCAAGGGATTGAACTCAGGGGCACTCAATCACTGAGTCACATCCCAGACCTATTTTGTATTTTATTTAGAGATGGAGTCTCACTGAGTTGCTTAGCACCTTGCCATTGCTGAGGTTGGCTTTGAACTTACCTTCCTCCTGTCTCATCCTCCCCAGCTGCTGGGATTACAGGCCTGCACCACCACGCCCAGCTCAGTATCATCTTTTTGTACTTCAATTTATGTATTCATTTATATTTATTTTTTGCAGGACTGGAAGTTGAACCTATGACATTATGTGTGCTAGGCTAGTGCTCTACCAATGAGCTACATTCCCAACCCCTTATTTGAATATTTTATTGAAGTGGTTTTCGAACTGAATTCAAAGGTACCTAGGGCACTTGGGTAGAGAATCAGTGTGTAGAATGTTGGGGCCTTCCAACTGGCTTCAGCTAAAATATTTCATCCCTAATTTGTCAGATGTTGGGTTTCTGGGTAGAATTTTGCATGAGAAAAAGTTCCAATGTAAACAATTGTTTCTTTTTGTTACTGGGATTGAATCTAGTGATATTCCACCACTGAGCTACATCTCCAGCTCCCCCTGCCCTCCCTCTTTTTTAACTGCTAGTAGTATTCTTCTTTTTAGAAAATTTTTAGTTGTAGATGGACATGATACCTTCTTTTAATTTACCTATTTTTATTTGGTGCTGAGTATCGAACCTAGTGCCTCACACATGGTAAGCAAGTGCTCTACCACTGAGCCACAGCCCTAGCCTTCCAGCCCTTCTTATTTTTGAGACAAGGTCTCCTACTGAAGTAGTAGTACTACTCTTGAGTTGCTGGGATTACTGGTATATGCTACTGTACCCAGCTTTGTGTTAAAAACAATTTTAAGATTCTTGTTTTATTTCTTGTCTACTTAATCCTTAGTAAAACGTGGGACTGTCTTTTTTTATTCTCCCTTTCAACTTGGCAAAAAAGAAATGAAACCAATCTTAATTGAAGTTAAGGATCTTTTTTATTTTATTCACCTTTGTTTCTCAATATATTTGTATGCCAAACATGTTAATAGAAGTTATTGAATATAATTATTATTTACTTATTTATTTTAGTTATCAAGTGGGAATCCTGTATATGAAAAATACTATAGACAGGTAAGATTTTTTTTGTCTGTTTTTCCTAGATGGAACATAAAGTATACTATCAACTGTCAATTGTATGCATGTAGATTATCAGCTAGCTGAATAAATTTGACATGTCTTGTTTTTAACTTTTTGTGCTTTATAGCCTCTAGCTTTGAATACTTAGTGCTTCTAGCATGCTTCTAGAAAAAAGAAGGCAAAATAATTAAAGTAATTTAATTGCCTTAAATATCTATGTGAAATCTATACAATATTAGATATATTTATTCAGATATAAGTATTAAAATTAACTTATAATCCAAATTGAAATGGCTTTTATACTGTTTTTGTAGAAATTTTTTTAGTTGTTGATGGACCTTTATTTTATTTACTTATATGTGGTGCTGAGAATCGAACCCAGTGCTTCACACATGCTAAGCAGGTAATCTACCACTGAACTACAACCCCAGACCCACTTTTATGCTGTTTTTAAAACTTACTAAAGTATAATTTTCACAAGCTGAAAACGCTGGGTTTCATATAAATCTAAAATGAGCATGGGGATTGAGAGAATATCTTAGTGATAGAGCAGTTGTTGAGCATGCACAAGATCCTAGGTTCAATCCCCAGCACCACAAAAAAAGGAAAAAAAATAACAAAAAAACAAAGGGTGGGTTGGAGGAAATCAAGGATTTTATTCAATTTATTAGTTATTGAAGGAACCAGTTGAGTATAAAAATGAGAATATGAGTTACGGAGATTCATACTCTGCCAGACAAAATTTACTTGCATTGGTATAGACAGGAATCATTTGTATTGCTAATAGTTTTCTATAATTTTTGATTTATTTTATTTTAAGAGAGAGAGAGAGAGAATTTTTTAATATTTATTTTTTTAGTTTTTGGTGGACACAACATCTTTATTTTTTATGTGGTGCTGAGGATTAAACCCAGCGCCCCACGCATGCCAGGCTAGCATGCTACCGCTTGAGCCACATTCCCAGCCCCTAATTTTTGATTTATTTATTTTGGATTAAAACCAGGGGCTCTCTACATCTGAGGTACATCTTCTGCCTCTTTTGTTTTTTTTATTTTTGAGAGAGGATCTCACTAAGGCTGGCCTTGAGGCTGGACTTGAACTTGTGATCCCCCTGTCTTAGCTTCCCAAGTCACAGGGATTACAGGCATTAGCTACTGTACCAGGCCTCAGTTTTCCATAGTTTAACCTCTATCCCTACAGTGTGTAGAACAGTCTTTCCAATAGAAAGTTACTCAGGGGTATATAGTATATATCAGATAGTCTCTCAAGGGTATACACACTCTCACTTGCCCGTTTCCAAGTATTAGATCATTTTTTTCTAAAAGCCTCCTTACCTTGTGATGATGATTACAGAAAAGGCTGGTCTCATATCTGGCCTGACCATCTACAGAGTTGTGGCAAAGATTAATTAACCATTTTAGGCCTCTTTGGTTTTGACTAGTAGACCTAGAACCATAGACTATTTAGCAGTTTAAAAGGCCAGAGAATTAATTTCTGCTTGAAAAATTTTAGAATCTGATTATATTTTTATTCCTTAATTATTTGTTTATTTTTATTTTTAATTATTTTTTCTAGTTGTAGAGAGACACAAATCTTTATTTATTTATTTTTATGTGGTGCTAAGGATTGAACCCAGTGCCTCACATGTGCAAGGCAGGTGCTCTACCACTGAGCTGCAGCCCCAGACCAATTATTTGTTTATTTTTTAAGAGCTGAGGTCTGTCTTTACCAAACTGGTCTCAAATTCCTGGACTCAAGCGAGCTTCTTGCTTCAGTCTCTTTAGTAGCTGATTGTATGCCACAATCCCCAGCTTGATTGTACATTTTAAAGCCTCTATTAATTGTTGTTCTATCTTTTTTTGTCGGGGGGCAGGTGTGTACTGGGGATTGAACTCAGGGGCATTTGACCACTAAGTCATATCTCCAGCCCTATTTTGTATTTTATTTAGAGACAGGGTCTCACTGATTTGCTTAGTGCCTCGCTTTTGCTAAGGCTGGCTTTGAACATGGGATCCTCCCACCTCAGCCTCCCAAGCTGCAGGGATTACGGGCATGTGCCACCGTGCCCAGGTTTTTTCCTTTGTCTTGAGGCTATGATCTAAACCTTTAAAGTTGTCTCTTCCATAATTTCACCAGCATTACATGTAAATTAGAATGAATTTATCACATCTGAAGGTTTCTTAGACATCCAGGGTTCCTGGCTTGCTGGTAAGTGACCTTGCTTTACTATCTGTGAGGCTGGGACTTGCCAGATAGCAAGTCAGTTTTCTTGAGAGGGATTTGTAAGTATTGACTCCACAAAAGGCAGTGTTCTTCAATAGTAGCTTTTTCTATGTGAATATCCAAAATAATATTAATATAATAAAAATAATAAAAGGAAATCATTCTTAAATATGACCTTGTTTTGCACACGAATTATCTGATTGTCTCCTTACAAAAGTAGAACAAATTGTAATTAGATCTTTAATAATTACATTGCCATAAAAAGTAAAGATGTTAAGTAGAAGTATTTGTTTTTTGATTCTGATAAGCCAACGAGAATCAGATACCATTGAAAACTGTTCCATTCATATCAAATTGAGGATTGAGATAATGTAGGAAGAAAAAGAAAAATAGAAAATTAGAGATAATACCACCAGATGAGGTGACTCTCTCCTATATTCCTCGATACTCAGGAAGCTAAGGCAGGAGAATCACTTAAGCCTAGGAGTTTGGGGTCAGTCTACGCAATATGGTGATATCTCATCTCTTAAAATAAAATCAATAAATAAGAGGACTCAGAGTGTAGTAACTAAGTGGTAGAGCATATGCTCAGTGTATGCAAGACCATGGGTTCAATCCCTAGCACCATAAAAATCAAAGCAAAATGAAAAAAAAAAACAACAATTTATTTCAAGTAAATAATCATAATTAAATTTTCTTCACTAATTTAACCAGTTCTGTATAATTCTTTCTTGACTGGATCTTGGGTCAGGAGTCAGCTTTCACAAAGTACATCTGTTTCCAGACTGAAAAGAATCTTGGAAATCCTTATTTCATCTACCAGTATAGCCTGAAAAATTGCTTAAGTGATATCGACTCAGAAGTCTTTACCCAAAACTCTATTTTTGGAGTATTAGTATTTCAGAGACCCTTCCATGAGATCTTTGAGAACTGTCTGTTGAAGATACAGATTCTAGCCTATATAGTTTATAACAGAGCATCAGAATACTATAGAAACTGCCTATAGATGACACAGACTCAGTGACTATGTTTAATTTATTATGGCAACCAAAAGAATGACAGATAGTAAAATTCTTTATTGGGATACAGTACACAAATATTTCATGAGTTGACTGATGTTTCCTCTGAGTGCCTCTGTTTGGGTTATATTGGGTATGAGTATTCCTTTTCAATCCTGGTCAGGGAAGAGAGCAAAGAACAGTAGTTATAGAGGATTCTGGAGGTAGATTTCCTAATCCTTTCTGTAATTCTTATTCCAAATTTGAAGGATTAGGCAACTCTTTCTTTTTTTGCTTAGTTTCTGATTTATCCTGTGTTCTAGCACTTGAAAGAAAGGTTTTCTTTTTCTTTTTCTTTTTTGCCTCTTTGTTTATACTGAACAGTCTTGAATACTTTATGTTCATAGTAAACTTAATCCTTTAACTGGCAATACAGCTATTTCACAGACATCCTAGTATACTTTTTAAAATTTACTTTATATATTTTCATATGGAACTTTAGGAAATTTTTGCAAAAATGAGAGTCATTTTTTTGAATTTTTTTCTCTCTCTCTTTTTTTTTTCCCTATTCTTGTGACATCATTCTGTCTTAAAGGAAAGTCCCCATTAGTTAAATGATGCATTTCCCTTAATGAATTGTAGAAACTTAACAATTTTAACAAGGTTTCTTAAAGTTTATTGTGCAATCAATTTCTCCTCCTCCTCCTTCTTTTTAAAGTGCTGCAGTTCTTAAAGAGTACATATAAAAGCAGAAGTTGATAATCTGAAACTGAAGAGGCAGACAACATAGGCAGCTAATTCTCATTTGTTAGAAGACCTGTCCAGGAAATGAGAAATGCTGCCTTTTTTTCTTCTCTTGCCATTTAAGATTATTGGAATTGAAGTGACAATCATAAAAAATTGGAGTCAGAAGACATGTGTTGAAGTTCTAACTCCACTCATTTGCTTTTACTTCCTCTGAGCTTTGGTTTCTTATTGGATATTAGGCATGATTAACAAAACAAAACAAAAACAAACTTAGCAAATTGCTGCTGCTGTATATGTGGTACTCTACTCATATTACTGTCCACAAATTCCTTAGCCTTTGTTAGTAAGAGGATTCCTGCTCATTTCTTGAAAAAGCCAGTCCCAAATCACAGGGATGGAGGCCAGTAAATGGTGACAATTTTCCCTTTGTGTTTTCTTTCTAAGCTTACAGTTTGTGTCTTTTCAGGTTGATACAGGCAATACTGGAAGGGTGCTGGCTTCAGATGCTGCTGCTTTTCTGAAAAAGTCAGGGCTTCCAGACTTGATACTTGGAAAGGTAGTGTTTATATATTATAACTAGGTTATAATGAATACATAGAACGCTAGACTAACTGGCTGAAGATTAAGAAACATAACCATCAAGAAATTTAAGAACCAAATCAGAAAAGCAGTTACAGTAATGGGATGAGGGACATTTATGACATAGCAATTTACCTTCTTGAAAAATAAAGCATAGTTCAAAATTTAAGAAAAAATTACTTTTGAAGAGGATAAATGAGGAAATAATAGTACATTTGATTATTGTTGGGAAATAGTGGAACCTTGCCACCCACTCAGAGCTGGCTCTATCCCTGCTTCCTCTATATAAGTGTCTCTGTTGAATGTGTGATGAATGGAATGGGGATTTTGGGAGGCTTTGGAAAGAGCACAAAAAAGGCAGAAAGCCCCTATCCTATGAAATTATTTTGCTATTTATTGATACATAGTTAAAATCCTGAAAAATAACCACTTTTCTTAATTTAATTATTTGCAAATAAACATTTACCTTCTCAATTTGCCCATGAGAAAGAATATCACCTTAATAAGAACCTAAAATCAAGAACAGTATGTTGCAGTAGAAAGAGCATGTTTGACTAAAGAGTTAAAACCTGGGTTAGTGAAAAAGGCATTTGACTAGAAGTTGGAACCTGAGTTTCTTCTTTCCCCGATGCCTTGAATGTTCTTGAGGCAAGTCACTTAACCTCTTTGGGTCTTAGTATTTTTGTGAAAGGTTGCATTGAATGATCTTTAAGGGTTCTTTCCACTTTTAATTCCATGATTTTTAGATTTGATTATCAGAATATGAGGTTGTAAATTATAGGGATTTAACTTATCTTTGAGATGATTTCTGTTAAAAATATAGATTGATTCTTTTTCCACCCCCTAATTTCAGATTTGGGATTTAGCTGACACAGATGGCAAAGGCATCCTGAACAAACAAGTAAGATTCAGAGATTCATATGAAAAATTTAAGTAATTTGAAATAAAAAATAGCCAACAGATTTTTATATTTTTAAGCTAAGAATTGCTTTTTATCAACATTAGGCAATTTACAAGAGCAATTGTCATAACAGTGAAAATAATACCAAGCACTAAACGTTAAAATATCTGATTCCTAAAGGTTAATGTTAGTTTGGTGACATTGTTCCACTGAGATTTGTTTTCTGTCCTGTAGAAACATTTTGCTCTTTTAATCTTACTAATTCAATTTTCTGGGTGTATGAGTAAACATTGATTTTGTTAGTAAGTGTTAAGATGGTATTGCTTGGTATATTTGAAAGGAATCTCTTGGCTAATCAAGCCTGAGTATTCTGGCCTGATTCTGTTCTGACAATGACACTTGGTGCTTTCCTCCTCTAGTATAATTTTTATTTTGTTGCTCATAACACATTGCAAGTTAGTTAGTATTAGCTCCCCTTATATGGAAGTTTTATTTTAATTAACTTGCCCACGCAACTTTAGATAACAGAACTAGAATTTCATGGAGAATTATTTCACTTAAAGAGTCCATCTATACAGAGGAAGTGCACCAGATTACCTAAGAGTAATTGAATCTCTCAGAATAAGACAAGAAGGAATATAAAGAGTACTTAGAATACCAGCATTTAAAAGTGAGAGGAGGTATAGACTCCAGCAGAAGAGACTTGAAAGGTCAGAAAGAACTAGAAGAGTTTCATTAAGCTTATTTGGTGGAGAAGTACTTCAGAATGAAAGAGAATGAGGAGGACATAGGCATTAGTTTCCCTAGCTAATCAAGGAGTGGAGTCTTTTACATGGAAACTTCTGGAGTAAATCAGAAGAGGGTTTCTTGGTAACATTTTTTCAAGAAATTTATGACTGAAAGGCAAGGTATTGTATAAAACAGATAGCCTGACTTTTTAAGAAAAAGTTAGGAATAGAGTAATAGGACATAGGTGAGAACAAGAGGTTTTAGAAAAGTAGGGAAGTGTTGAATAAACCACTGTATTAGGATGTCAACAAGCCACTGTATTAGGATGTCAACAAGTTGTAAAGATTATAGCTGGAGTAAAGTCTTTTGTTATCATTTCTATTCCTAGACTTATCTCTAACTCAAAATAGCTGAAAACCAGTTGCTTTAGCTTCTTTACATTTATTTATTTAATTAGTTTTGGACTGAGACTTAAAATCCAAGGACCTTTGTGGGAGATTTATAAACATTTTGAAGTCAAGCAGTTATATAATTGTTTTAAGTGCTACTCATTTATTTCTGCAGCTGTTTTGGAATAGCAGGATTGAGTCACTTGAATTACTGATCCATGTTTCAAAATTTATAATCTCACACTGAAGAGATGATTAATAACATTTAGTGATTTCCTCCTAGGCTCCCACCCTCAAATTCCTTTTTCTCAAAACATTTTCTAACAACATTAAATATTCTTTGAAATATGAGTATTAGTTATGTAAAATTTTCATTATCAGTAGGTATCACAATTTATTTAAATATTTTCTGTTTATATTGTTATTTGTTACTTATAGTGTTAGAAAAATCTTTGTACATGGGTCTTTTTTCAATTTTAAAGCAAGTGTTCTTGAAACAAATTTGTTATTATATTTGTTGCTACACAAAAACTCGGGAGTAATTATGAATTCTTTTATATTTTCAGATTATAAGTAGAATGTGTGGTAGATAATGGTCATACTTTTTTTCCTCAGGAATTCTTTGTGGCTTTGCGTCTTGTAGCATGTGCCCAGAATGGATTGGAGGTTTCACTGAATAGCTTGAACTTGGCTGTTCCTCCACCAAGATTTGTAAGCAATGATTTTAGATGTAAATTGTATCTAATTATTAAAAAGTGACACCACATGATTTGAAATTAAAATTAATATATTAAAAATAAATTTCTCCTTTATCCCTATCCCTCAGCTACATGATTTTCTTTTTTAATAGCTGCTACTGTTTTTTGTGTATTCTTTTTTCTTGTGTATTCTTCAGTTACTATGTGTGCATATAACAAAATATAAATATGTATAAGTATGTATTTCCTCATTTTTTGTTAATTATAGCATATTGACCGCTTGAATCTATAACTTTTTAAAATAACAAATGTTTTATAAATCTCTACATATCATTGCACAAAAATTTCCTCTCTGTTTTTTATGGCTGCATAGTATTTCTTTGTTTGTATTTACCATAATTTATTTAACTTCCTATTGTTTGACTTTTAGATTGTTTTAGTGTTTTGTTATAAAATGGTTCTGTGAATAATAACTTTGTACGTATATTATTTTGCATGTGCAGATATATGTATGTATAAATTCCCAAAAGTGGAATTGATGTTCCAAAAATTTTTGCCTTTGTAATTTGGGTGTATTTTGCCTTCCGTAGTGGTTTGTTAGTTTACATTCCCACCAGAAGTTGGTTCAAGTGCCCTGTTTTCCTACATATTTGGTAGCATACTGTTGTTATACTATTAGACAATTATTGTCAGTTTGGTGACACATGGTTTGTAAATATAATTCCGATTCATCCTTTTGGTTTTATAAAGTGAGGTTGAGTATTTTTCTTATGAACAGTTTACATTACTTTTATGTGACTATTTAATTATAGGCTCTCCATGTTTTTCTTGGGTAGGTTTTTTTAATTTATTAAATTCTAGGGATTCTTTAAAAATTAGGAAATTAACTCTTTGTCTATATATGCTGCAAATATATTTTCCCAGCATGTCATTTGTCTTTTGCCCTTGCTTTTGATTCCCCCCTGCTCCATGACTGTTTTTTTTTTTTTAATCAAGTAAGTAAATTGTCAAGTTAATTTTTTTTTCAATATTTAAGTTAATACTGATTTGGGTATCAATATGGATTCAAATTTATGTTTTCAAGATGGCTACCCTACAGACCCAGTGTAGTGGGTTGAATAATCAATCTTTACTGATTTAAAATGCTACCTTAATCATGAGCTTAATTCTCATGTATTTAGTTTTTTTTTTAAATTTTTTTTATTCTTACCTATTGATCTGTTTATTTGCTGGTTTTATGTTATTTTAATTATCATTATTTGGTAAATGTTTTTTGTATCTGTTTATGGCTAGTTCTTTTCGTCCCACTCTTTTTTTGGAAATGTAATGACTTTTTTTGCTTTTTATTTTAATTCTATTTCATTTTTTGTGGTTCTGGGGATCAAACTCAGAGCCTTGTGCATGATAGGCAAGTGATCTACACTGAACTTAATACCCAGCTCTAGTTTGTTTGCTTTTTTAATTTTTTTTTAGTTGTAGGTGGACACAATATATCTATTTATTTATTTTTTAATATGGTACTGAGGATAGAACCCAGTGCTGTTATGTGTGCTAGGCAAGCGCTATATCAATGAGCTACAACCTCAGCTCCTCTTTGTTTTTAAACTTAATATTTTAGAAGTATTAAGAATTTAACTGGGCTGGGGATGTGGCTCAAGCAGTAGCGCGCTCGCCTGGCATGCGTGCGGCCCGGGTTCGATCCTCAGCACCACATACCAACAAAGATGTTGTGTCCGCCAATAACTAAAAGAAATAAATATTAAAAAATTCTCTCTCTCTCTCTCTCTCTCTCTCTCTCTCTCTCTCCTCTCTCTTAAAAAAAAAAAGAATTTAACTTCAGTTTGGGGGATGTCTGTACTTCTTTGTTTAGGCATGGAATCAGGTGTCAATATAGGGATTTGTTACCTAACTATTATTAAAAAGATTTTTCAAATATATTAATCTGGGTTGGGGCTGTGGCTTAGTTGTAGAGCACTTTCTTAGCATGTGTGAGGCACTGGGTTCGAGTCTCAGCACTGCATATAAATAAATGAATAAAATAAAGGTTCATCAACATCTTAAAAAACATTTAAAAAAATATTAATCTGTCTTCATCCAGATAAACATAATAATTGGGACATACTATTAATAGGTATTGTGTACTTAAAACTTACAAATGCTAAGTTGGTTTGTTTTCCCAGTTTTTAAAAGATAATATTGGGGAAAAGTCATCAGTTAATAGGACTTCAAATATTTCGTTAATATTCAGATATCTGCTGAGAACAGTGGTGCCTGACTATAATCCCAGCCACTTGGGAGGCTGAGGCAGGAGGATTGCAACTTTGAGGCTGGTCTCAGTAACTTAGTGAGACCCTGCCTCAAAATAAAAAAAATTCAAAGGACTGGGAGTGCAACTCGGTGATGAAGCAACCCCTTGTTTAATCCTTGGTAACAAAAAAAAAAAAAAAAAATTTCCAGATAACTTTATCTTTCAATTGTTGTAGGATTTCTTTTTTAGTACATATTTTACTTAGTCCTCCACAGTGATTTATGTGGTCAAGTGAAAATTGACTTTGTTTTAGTAGAAAATAGTTGAAAGTCTACTTAATGTAAGAAGTGTTTTAAGTGCTTAGAGATCCAGTGTTTTATATGAATATATTTAAATCCAAAGACCATTTTTCTTCATTGCTTATTGATATGAGAATTTCAACAATTCATGTGCTATTTACATTTTAGCATGATACCAGTAGTCCTTTACTAACCAGCGGAACCCCTGCAGCTGAGCTTCCATGGGCTGTTAAAGTAAGTAATTTGTGTAACTATTCATTTCTTACTCCTGCTTTGCTTCCTACTCACTTATATCCTTTCCCCCTACTTCTGAAATACATTGCAATGCATGTTAGACTTTCATATGTATATTTAAGGATAATAGGAAAAGTACCCACACTGGAATCTTTGAGGGATCTTTCAGTTCTGTTAGTCATTTTGTGACCAAAAAAAAAAAAAAAAAATGAGGAATTTGGTATTGACTGGACAAATAATGAATAGAAGATTTTCATGTTATACAAGTAACATTTAAAATTTTAGGAGATGTCTTGTTGACAAGAAAAATAAATTTTGCTTTGGGAAAATTGGGGGAATCTTGGTGTTTGTTCCCAGAGTATTGATGTTTGTTTTTAAAAATTTCATTTGTTTGCATTTGAAATGTACCTAATACCATGTTTAGAAACTCATCAAATGTTATAAAATTGTGACTTATGAAAGTTACTTCCTTGCTGTATGTGTTTAAGTGAGAGTTAGAACTAGTTGTTTCTTTCTCTGAAATCTTTTGATTCTAACAAAGAGTGTTCCAGCTTCAAAAGGAATAGGGGACACTGGACTCTTAAGTAGAATCACTTTAAAATTATTAATTAATATATTTGATGAAAGTAAAAAAAATGTTTTTTAAATGTTATTTTTAAAAATGTCTTCTATGAGGACTTGATTTTTATAACTGCAATCAAAACATTTCCACCATTACTTAACTTGTCATTGTTTTAAAAAACATTTTATTTTAGAGTGAAGATAAGGCCAAATATGATGCAATTTTTGATAGTTTAAGCCCAGTGGATGGATTTTTGTCTGGTGATAAAGTGAAGCCAGTGTTGCTCAACTCTAAGTTACCTGTGGAAATCCTTGGAAGAGTAAGATATTAAGTTTTAAATGTAGTATTTTCTGTATTATAACTTTATATTTACTAAGAGCACTTGTTGGTCATTATTAAATGTACAATCTTATTTTAAAGTTGCCTTATTATAAAATTTTCTGTGTCCTGACTTAATATATAAAATTATTCCCAATTTATTTGTGTTTTTTATTATTCCCTGTAAAATATAAGTGATTGAAGTTAGTTATATATATAAGCCCCTTAAGCAGGTCCATTTTTCTTTGTGCTGTATGCTCTAATTTCCAACTGCATGACAGTTTTTAAAGACTATTAATATTTTATGTTTACCACTTACCCCATATATCATGTGGTCTCATAAGGAATAGTTTCATCTTTGAAATAATTAATTCTACTTTCTAACTTGAACTTTTTCTTGATCTTTTCTTTAGATACTTGCAAGACTTTAATTCTTTGATTTCACTCAGACCTTTAAATCTTAGACTCCTTTACTTTCCCTCTGTCTTTTTATATTGTGGTAAGATGCATATAACATGATATTTGCCCTTTTATCCAATTTTAAATGTAAAGTAGTGTTAAGAATACTACATTGTTGTTCAACCATTACTATCATCTATCTTCATAACTTTTTCATCTTGTAAAACTAAAACTGTCACCCTGCCCCCCTTTTTTTTTTTTTTTTTGACTGTGCTGGGGATTGAATCCAGGGCCTTGTGCATGCTAGGCAAAGGTTCTACCGCTAATCCATATCTCCAACCTTTCCCCTTATCTTTTGAAATTACTGTTTTCCTCATGCAGCTTGGTTTCCCCGACTCCTGGTCTATAATTCCATATTCTCTTCCCAGCTCCCTTTGCCACATTTTCTTCCATCTTCTCTACCTGATGAAATCATAAATTCTATTCTTTGACTTGAATTCTTTTTTTCCCGTTTTAAATTAGAAAATTTTTTAAATTTGATGGCCAATGTTATACTTATTTATCATGCACAACATGATGTTTTGAATATATATATATATTTATTTTTAACCATATATGTGTGTGTGTGTTTAAAGATGGCTACTTAGTGGGAATTATATTAAGATGTAAAATATATTAAGATCCATTTGTGAGAAAACATAGATCTGTCTTAGGTTTCCCCAATATATTCTGACTTGAATTCTTGTCTCTCTAGATCTTTTTCCTAGATGCTTGCAAAAATTTTTTTTTTTTTTAACTTCACTAAGTAGTCTCTGACTTTACTAAAAATCCAATTTTACATGAACCTAATTATCACTGGTTGCATATATGAGACAGCCTAATAAGATTAATGTCATCATAAATTTGTGATCACCAGCTTCAGGTGGGGTTCTTCCTATTATTTAACACTCTTTTTTTGTTTCCAAAGTGATTTCTCTCTACTCTCTTTTCATATGTCAAACCTTATCTTCTCTCTCTAAACCTCTGGCCCTTACTTTAATTCCCTGCTTAAGCAGACCACATAGGGTCACATCCTGGCTATACTGCTTCTTAGTTGTGTGACCATGGACAAATAATTAGAAAACCACATCTTGGTTTTCTGATCTTTAAAATGGGCATATTTTCCAGTTTAGAGGGTTGTAAGCATCAAATATGATAATGTAAATAATGTACTCACTAGTACTGTTAATAGCTGCTTTGGTGATGTTGATGATGACAATAATGATGAAGGCAACATTACCACCACAGTACTTACACTACTTCTAGATGAGTGTTAACATAGATTGGGGGCTCAATAAATATTGATTTAAAAAAAAATCATGTATATGTTTCCCACTGTTTATTTCTCTACTATGTGGTAAGGATTGCAAACTGTAAATAATTGTGTCATTTTATTACTTGAATCTAAGTTTTTAGAAGCTTCCCATTACAATTAAGAAAAATCCAAACTCTGTTCAAGGCGTTTAATGACCAGGCACTTGCTTATCTCTACTTTTTTATATTTCTCTAGTATACTTTCTCTCTTAGTTCCTAAACAACACATGAAATGAAAGAACATTGATATTTCTCAATTTTCTCTTTTAAGGTTTGGGAATTGAGTGATATTGACCATGATGGAAAGCTTGACAGAGATGAGTTTGCAGTTGTAAGTAACTTAATGTTCTTAAAATATGAAATATCATAATGGTTTTATCATGTGAAAATTTACCCTTTTAATTAATCCTTGAAGGAAAACTATGTTTATCAGATTGTTGGTATAAACATTTTTACCTAGAATTTATAGGTAGTTAATAAATATTTTAAAATAAATGAGTAACAAAATGTGTTTGCTGTCTTCATTTTATTTGACTTTAAGGTACATTGTGATATATACTTTGATTAATGTACTATAAAGATGCTGAGTGATAATGTCTTTTATATCCTAACTTGATGAAATATCCTAGCACCTGCCTCTACGTGGAATAATTTTGCTCCAGATACATCCCCGTTTTCACATTGATTTTATTGAAAGGAAACGTGAATAATGCTTTAGTTACATTTCATTCATGAGGACAGAAGCTTTGACATTGTATCTGATAAAACCCATCTCAAGACATGTTATCTTGTAATTGGATAGTTAGTTCCAAGTAGAATATTTATCTCTTGAAATATTTACAAAAATTCTGCAGTGAGCTCATTTGTGTCTACCTTACTATCTTATTTTAAAATTAGTCTGTTCAAATTTTCTGTCTTGCTGAGGGACACACCTGTAATCCCAGCGACTTAGGAGGCTGAGACAGGAGGATCATGAGTTCAAAGCCAGCCTCAGCAATGGCGAGGCACTAAGCAATTCTGTGAGACCCTGTCTCTAAATAAAATACAAAATACGGCTGGGGAATGTGGCTCAGTAGTTGAGTACCCCTGAGTTCAATCCCTGGTACCAAAAAAAAAAATCTGTCTTTTTTTAAATTTTGCTAAGGAATTGTCTATTTATTTGACTTTGAAACTTCTTGCCACAAAATGCATTATTCTGGGGCTGGGGATGTGGCTCAAGTGGTAGCGCGCTCGCCTGGCATGCGTGCGGCCTGGGTTCAATCCTCAGCACCACATACAAAACAAAGATGTTGTGTCCGCCAAAAACTAGAAAATAAATATTAAAAAAAAAAAAATTCTCTCTCTTTCTCACTCTCTCTTTTTTAAAAAAATGCATTATTCTGTCAGTATCTTCTGAGTTTCTCATTTCATATCTTAAGTGTTTGTAGTTTTTTTTAAAAAAAATATATTTTTTTTTTAAAGAGAGAGATAATTTTTTAATATTTATTTTTTAGTTTTTGGCGGACACAACATCTTTGTTTGTATGTAGTGCTGAGGATCAAACCCGGGCTGCACGCATGCCAGGCGAGCATGCTACCGCTTGAGCCACATCCCCAGCCCCTTAAATATATTTTTAAAATTGTAGATGGACACAATACATTTATTTATTTTTGTGTGGTGCTGAGGATTGAACCCATTGCCTCATATATGTGAGGCAAGCGCTCTGCCATTGAGCCACAATCCCAGCCCCAAGTGTTTATAGTTTTGTTCCCTCTTTTTTTGTTGTTGGTGATTTAATCTATTATATAGTTTATTCATCTTTCAAGACTATCTTTTAGATTATTTATCCTTTTTGTTTTCATCCTTTTTCAGTTTATCTTAATTTTTTCTTCCTAGTTTCTTTTCATTTACTTGTCCTTTAAAATTTGTTTTTTTTTAAATTACTTCTTTTATCTTTCATCTTTTTAAATATCATTTAAAGGATGTTTCTCTCAGAATATAGATTTAGATATATCCTATATATATAGTACAAAGTGTTTTCTTCCTACTTTTCAGATAATTTTTAGTTTTCTTCCATTGTCTGTTTAGGAATATGTTTTCTAATTTCAAAGTAGTTAAGCTTGTTTGGCTTTTGATACATATGTATGTAATTTTAACTTGGTTGGATTAAGACTAAAGAATGTGGTCTGTAGAATCTCTTCTTTTTTTTTTTTTTTTTATTATGGGCAGGGACAGGAGGGATAGGGGAGACAAGACGCTGGGGATCAAACCAGGGCTGCATGCATGCTAGGCAAGTCTTCTGCTGAGCTATATCCCCAGCCCTAAAATCACTACTTTAAGAAATATGTTAAGGTTTTCTTTATTGCCAGCTTCATGACATTTTTACATGCCCCATAGATAATGCCAGCATTTCTCTTTAGAGGATATTAGACTTCTATAAATTCATTATACCAAATTTATCAATTATGTAGTTTCTCTTTGTCCTTATTTTTTTTAGTCTTTGAGTAAATTTCATCCTATTTCCTTCCTTTAAAAGCCAAAATTGTTTTTAAAACATGATAATATGTTTTTAAAATTATCATTATCATGTTTAAAAAATGCAGAAACAAAAACTTAAACTGACTTGAATTTATAGTCATAGTTCCTAGTCATTTTTGTTTTGATTTGAGTAATAGTTGGAAAGTGGTAAAGAATACACTCTCACAATGGTGGCAGAGGTTTTTCAAGTTATATATCAGGGGTTAAGTCAATTATTTGTGGAATGTTTTGGGGAAAGGGGATGTATTGAAAAGATTTGTATGTGATGTACCATGAAACATTGTTACACATAACACTTTATTTATTTTTGGTACCAGGAGTTGAACTCAGGGGCACTTAACTGTTGAGCAACATCCCCAGCCTTTTTTATTTTGTAACAGGGTCTTGCTAAGTCACCTAGAGCCTTTCTAAATAGCTGAGATTGGCTTTGAACTTGTGACCCTCCTGCCTTAGCCTCCTGAACTGCTGGGATTACAGGTGTGCGTCAACATAACCAGCTGTGTAAAGAAGTGTTTTTTTGTGTTAAGAATATTGGTACAAAATCTTTGACTTGGTAAGAGGTATTGAAGATTTTTTTTTCTTATAAAGATAAAACTTTTTAAATTTCAAAGGATTATTTGTATTAATATAGTTAGAAACAGGGAGAATAATGATATCCTCATTTAATAAATAGTAGTATATGCCAAGATAATTAAATAAACATAGTTTATTTTATATGCCCTGAAGCCTTTTCCTAGGCAACTTACTTTTTTAAAAAAATAAAAATGAATCTTATTAAAAGGATAATTTAAGAATAATAAACACAGGGCTAGGGATGTAGCTCAAGCGGTAGCGGGCTCGCCTGGCATGCGTGCAGCCCTGGTTCGATCCTCAGCACCACATACAAACAAAGATGTTGTGTCTGCCAAAAAAAATAAAAAATAAATATTAAAATTCTCTCTATAAAAAAAAAAGAATAATAAACACAATTTCAGGAAATACCTACTTTAAATTTTGTTTTGTTTTATTTTTTAGTATGGGGGATTGAACCCAGGGGGTACTTAACCACTGAGTCACATCCCCAGCCCTTTTTATTTTTTATTATGAAAAATAGGCTCTCACTAAATTGCTTAGGGCCTTGCTAAATTGTTGAGGCTTGTCTTTACTTGCTCAGCCTCTTAAGTTGCTGGGATTACAGGTATGTGCCACTGTGCCTAGCTTACATTTTATTTTAAATAGTGAACATCCCTTTATCTTTTCTTAGACTTATTGTTAGTCATTTTTAATATTTGTTTTCTATGAACATTCTTTAGAAATTTTTTCAACTTTAAATTCTATCTTGTGTGATTTGATATACTACTTCTGTGCTTTTTTTGCTATGTGATATTTCTTGTTTATTGTGTATCTTTCTTGAAAATGGAGCATTTTTGTTTTTAATATTTTACCCATTTATGATGATACATGTATTGATTTTATTTCCCCAACTGTGTCTATTTATTTTACATTATTTTCTTCTTTATTTCTGTTTCTGTTGTTGCTGATGAATTTGTGATTCCTCCACCTCTTCCTCCTTGTTAATGTAGAAATTCTATTATAATGTCCCATTCTATTAATAATCAGTATGCCTTTTTCTGTACTCTAACATAGTTCTTCAATGTTTGCTAATAAGATTGTTCACCCTGACTCCAGTAAAATGAGGCATTTCAGTTATTTTTACTTCTCTTTTTCCCTATCTCACAGCTTTAGAACATTATGTGAAACTCAAATCCTAGCTTTTGCTCAGTTAATTTACTTCTTTTAGTTCTAGAATTTTCTTTGTAGTTTTGTTCAATATTAATTGTTTCACTAGCATTCTTTTGGTTTAGAATTTACCTGATATATCTTTTTCCATCCTTTAACTTTCATAAATGGAGCAACATAATCTGTATTTTTTTTCTTATTCTTTAAGATGGGATCTCCGTATATTGTCAGGATGGCCCTGAATTCCTGGTTTCTAGTGATGCTCTTGACTCAGCTTCCTGAGGAGCTGTAACTATAGGCATATACTACCGCACCCAGCTCTGTACTGTATTTTAAAATTAAAATTGCTACAATATTAGTAATTTAGCTTGTGCAAACAAAACTATAAGTCATGTGACTTGTCTTTATTTACAATCATTAATTTTAAAAAACTGAATTTTAAAAATTAATCTTAATGTTTCCTGAAAATTAAAGTAATTTAAAAATATTTTTGCAATAGAGAAATAACTTAAGACCTGAACATTTTAAATTATCTTCCAAAATAATGAATTGTTCACATATACTTACTCATATGATCTACCCTTTTAGACTGTGTCAATTTAGTTTGCAAGATTTTTTTGCTGAAATATAACAAAAGGGGTTGGGGTTGTGGCTTAGCGGTAGAGTGCTCGCCTAGCACTTTCGAGGCCCTAGGTTCAATCCTCAGCACCACATAAAAATAAATTAATAAAATAAAGATATTGTGTCCAACTACAACTAAAAAAATAAATATAAATTTTTTAAAAAAAGAAATATAACAAATTCCCCTGAGATTATCTTATTTGACTAACTAATCAAACCTGGATTGAATATAAGAATCTTTATGTTCAACATGCACCTTTAAAATTCTTACCCATTTCCCCTTGGATTAAATGGTACAGTTTGTTCATTTGTGTCAAGAGACCCAGTATAAAAATGAAGACTACAGATGTGTGGTTGTGTTTGTGTGTGTGTGTGTGTGTGTGTGTGTGTGTGTCTTTTAGAAATAACTTATTTCGACCCAGTGTGGTGATACATGCCTATAATTCCAGCTACTTGGGAGACTGAGGCAGAAGG